GCACGTAGGGAGTGGCAGGAGCGGGTGGGGGCCTCGCGTTGGGCGACGGCAAGGATGTGCTTCGCAGGCAGCCCCGGCCACGGCCGCTCGCTGCCCGTCCTCGCGCTCCCAGGGACGTGCGGGCTCTCTTCGGTGCCACCGATTGCAGGCTGCAGGCCCTAATTGTGGATAAAGAGCCACAAATCTCTGCTGGGGGTGGGGGGAGAAGTTCAGCAAGGGTCCTTCCGCGGAAAATTGGTGCGTATCGAAGTGTTCGTACCATCACATATTGCTTACACTGACTAAAACATACGCAGGACAAGCAATGCACGCTCACTTACGTAATACTGGTAGCGACAGATTTGAGACTTTGAAAACACTGCGCATTCACGCCGCCTCACCAAAACGTAAAATCCTGCTATGCAAAGATGAGCGAGCTGAGGCATGAAGATTCAGGTGCAAATTTACCCAAGGGAGTTGAGATATCTTTAGCTGCTGTTGCCCCCTGCTCCATCCCGGTGTCTCTCACGCTCGGATTTGCTGTGCGGTACCCAGGCCGCTGCCAAGGTCTCTCAGGAGCACCATGTCCTGCTTCCCTTCTCCTCGGGCCGCTCATCTGCTTAAAACCCTGTGCGCTGCACCGGCAGCACTGCATTGCATGCACTGCTGAGCCAGCGTATGCAGGGACCCACAGATCTTACCTGATGTACTCAAGGCCAGAAGCTGCAAATCGCTGTGTAGTTTCACACTGCTTTTCTTCAGCGGTTAAAGCTGCGTTTTGCTCCCAGTGCCACAGTTCGCCCAGGTAACTGTGGGCACAGCGTTGTAAACGGGACCAGTGAAACGATCCAGATTTCAGAGCAAATATGCCCTGCTTTTGGTGGGAGCGAGGGCTTAGCGTGGCCCATTACAGCGCCGCAGTTGTGGGCAGCCCCGCGGAGCTGCGCCGGCCGAGCTGCGGGCTGGGAGCCGCGGCTGGAGGGGCGATAGCTGCGAGCGGCGGGCAGCAGCTCCTGCAAGGGTGCCCCAAGCGCACTCCTCGGGTGGCAGTGACTGAAAGGCAATATTTCTTCACCTCATGTGTGTGAGGTAACTAAGTTCTTAATTAAAATAACGATGGTAGATTGTTAGGGCAGATAAATACTGCCTTGTTACAGCCCTCTTGGGTCATATGGAAGTGGTATTCATTTTAGAAAGGATGAATGAACAGAGTGTGAAGGATAAAGATCAGCTTTATTAATCACTCTGGAAGTGTTCTGTGGGAAAGGATAAACTCGTAAGGAAAGATACTGTCTATAAATGCCATTTAAATATTTATATAACTTGAGAAAATTTTGAAATAAAAGGCATGCAAGAAGCAAGTCATATCTGGGTTGCTGTCAGAGAAAACTAGGACTTGTAGAGCCAGGGTTAGTCAATGAGTAGTGTATTGGTTATACTGTATTTGTGAATGCTTTGTTAGCAGTAGTGATCAGCTCTTCTTCAACACAACCTGGGGTGGGTGGGGGGAATGTTGCTCTTGTCCAAGTGAGGATAAAACATTTGGAGACTACATTTACTTAAACTCTTGTGCTTCAGGTGTGATGCACTTCTAATTTTCAGTGTTCCTGGATGAGAAGTTTGCCGGTCTTCTTTACCTGGGTTAGCTGCATGTTGATTGATTTGATCATCCACTTCCAGTTTGTGGCAGTTGATAGGTCTGCAACGTGAGAAAGAATTACTCCAAGACTCCAAGTGGGAAAGTGTTCCCTTCCCTCCCCCCCTCCCCCCCAAAAAAACCCTGGAAATCGTAGCAATTGTTCCTGTGCTGATCATTGATTT